ATGAGAAGGTTGGAGCGGCAAGGCGGAGAGAGGAATGAGTGAGGCGGACGGCGCGAGGAGGAGCGTCGAGGTAAAGAGGCAAGCGATGGGCAAGCTCGAACGCCATGATTACCGCATCAGCGACCCGGAGGCCGGATGGCCCGCGCTCGCCACATACATGGAGCTCGCACGGGTGAACCTCCACGAACGCCTCCTCTCAAAGCTCCCGCTCCCCTACATCGGGGACCTCGACGAAAGCCGCATCACGAGCATTTATCAGCAAATCCAAACCCGGTTGTTCGCCGAGCAGCGCGCAAGCAGCGCGTAGAAGCGGCTCGCCCGGTGTCCAATGTATGTATTTTGTTATCAGTTTCAAACCAGTGCTGATCTCTTCTTTTCATACATCTTTTGCGCACTGTGCATCTTCACTTGCCTCACGCACACCCCACGCGCGCGCGCTGTTCTACCACACTCAACGGCTTGCGCGCGCGCCCCACGCGTTCCCATACGCCCCACGCGTTTTCCCATACGCCCCACGCACCATACATTTCGTGCCCCACACCCACGCGTCCACCATACGCCCTGCGCCCACTGCGCTCAACCCCACACACTGTGCACCACATACCACGCGCACGCGCCACCACTTTCACGCACATTCAGTCGCGCGCGCGATACAACTCCCCACGCCGAGTACCTCGCGCCCACCCAAGAGCCGATCCGAGCAAGGTGCTGAGAGCACTGCAACCTCGTCCAACACGGTTTTTGGCCCTGGCGGCGCGTCCTCGACCAGCGCGTGCGCCGTGTGTCTCGGTCGCCACTACCACAATGCCGGGCAATGCACCTCCGCCCAGCTATACAATGCCCCCGCGAGTCCCGCGTTCGTCAAGCGCACTGCAGATGGCAAGGGTTTCACCACCTCTGCCGATGGGAAGATCTGCCTCCGCTTCAACCTCTCCAAAGGCTGCCCTCTCGACAAGGACGCCTGTCAGCGACCTCACATTTGCAGCGGGTGCGGCTCCACTTCCCATTCCGCTCAAGCTTGCCATCTCTCGTATCCGGCTTCGAAATAGCAGCCCACTCAACGCTGATGTCTGGGAGCGCGAACTTCGCGAACTCGGGCTCACCCACAAATATCCCACTCTCGCTCTTTCTCTCCGGCAAGGCTTCATCATCGGCGTCCCCAGCATCTCCATCTCTTTCACTCCTCCCAACCACCCTTCTGTCTCCGACCATGCCACCCACCTCCACGACATCATACACAGAGAACGATCACTCGGACGTTATCTCGGGCCCTTTTCAGCCGCCGAAGTTGAAGCCCAACTCGGCCCTTTCCAAACGTCTCCGTTGTCCATCATCCCGAAACCCCACAAACCCAATTCTTTCCGGCTCATACAAAACCTCTCATACCCTCACGAACCGCGCGACGGGGTGCGCTCCATCAATTCCGCCATGGATGCTAGCATGTATCCTGGCACGTGGGGTACGTTCTTTGTCATATCGCTCATGTACGCAATGCTCCCACCGGGCTCCCAAGCTGCTGTCCACGACATCCGTGATGCCTACCGCACGGTTCCCCTACACCCCTCGCAGTTTGCCGGCGTCGTTGTCCGCACAGGCCATGACTCTTATGAGGTCGACACATGCGCCATGTTCGGGGGGCGCAACTCGGGAGGCGCATACAACCATGTCGCGGACGCAGCCCTGGACATTTTTCGCGCACGCGGGCTCGGCCCTGTTTTACATTGGGTGGACGATCACCTGTGGGTCCGGGTTCTCGTGGCCATGCTCGATGAGGCCAACCAGCGGCGCGCCGCTGCGCGCCAGCGTATTCACGTTCATGGAGCCAGGCACACTCGCGGTGCCCGTCTATGGTGGACAGGGTCCACCCTCCCTGATGGTCGCATTGAAGAATTCGTCGAGGACTTCTGTTCTCCTCTCCGCGACTTCTCGCATGACTCCCCTCGCCCGTCCGCTGAGTCCAAATTCACTTACACCTTCGCAGACATCGACAACCGGTCACTTCCCATGGGCTACTGCTGGGCGCCCGAGAAGGACCAACATTGGACATCATCCCCCGTTTACACTGGTTTCGTCTGGGACCTCGCCATTGGAACCGTCGCCTTGGAGCTTAAGAAGCGGGACAAATATGTCTCCGTCCTCAACCTCTTTCTCATCACACCCGCACCCGCTCACGACCTCCTTTCCATCCAAAGCTTGTACGGCAAGCTCCATCATGCCAGTCTCATCATTCCAGATGGACGTTCTTACCTTACTGGACTGGAAGTCGCTCTTTCCAATGGAGCTGACCGTCCTCACGTTGCCCGACACCTCCCGAAGTTCGCGCGAGAGGACCTCCGATGGTGGCGTCGACGACTTCTACACGGAACCCTCTCCCGTCCCATCCCAGTCCCGGTTGAGGTTCACCACCTCCATGCCTACTCCGACGCGTCCTCCGGCATTGGAGTCGCCATCGTCATCTTCGGACGTTGGCGAGCATGGCGCGTCCTCCCCGGGTGGGACACAGACGGTCGACACATCCAGTGGCTCGAGGCCGTTGGCTTCGAGCTCCTCGTTCTTGGACTTCTACGACTCGGCGGCTCACCACCACACATCTCAGTCCATGGCGATAACTCCGCGGTTATTGGCGGCTGGGCGCGCGGTCGACACCCCAACCGCTGGGTCAATGACTGCTTCCGCAGGCTCCACGTTGTCCTTGCCTCCGCGGGGGTCACCATTCACACCCACTACGTCGAGAGCGCCTCCAACCCAGCTGACGATCCCTCCCGAGGCATCTACGGCCCAACAAGTTGCCTCCTCCCACCCATTGACATTCCAGAGAGCATCGCGCAATACTTCGTCGACTGGGACGCTGCCCCTCATCCGCAGGAGCCCTCAGCCCAGCGCACACCCCTACCCAAGCCCGAACGCTCCGTTGAGCATACCAGTGGGAGCCTCTGCGATGCGGAGCACACCGCAAGCGTCTTGCTTGACAATCCCGCATTCTTCTGGGATGCCATCGACTCGCTTTAATTGTGTTTTGCCTCCACGCCCCACCGTCACTCCCCGACCTTATGCCGCCGACCTCTCTCCCCAGCCTAACCCTCACCGGCCTCATGTCGCTGCGAACCAACGTCTCACCTCATGGTCACCCTCGTTCCCTTTTTCAGCAGCCGACGAGCCTGGTTCCTCGTCCGTTGATGAGCGAACTGCAGACGTTCTATCTCGTGGACTCGACTCATTGACTGCTACGACCTATGGGTCAGGGCTTCTTCTGTTCCACGTTTGGGCAGATATCCACTCTGTCCCCGAACAACTCCGTGGGCCTGTTCCGGAGTCAGTTCTTCTCGTCTTTTTGTCCTCTCTTGTCGGTGCATACTCCGCCTCCGCAGTCCGCAACACGAGGGGTCTCAGTGCCAGGGTTGCAACCAAAGCCCTGTAAGGTGCATGGTTGCAACCATGCAACGGTTGAAACCGTAGTATGGTTGCAACCACACCACAGTATATATTACCACTACTACACATCCATAATGAATGCAAATAACAATGTGCAAGTTGTGATGATCGCTTGAACATTGACATCTCATAGTCAAAATGAATATCGAATACATGGGTCGAACTCGCGACCTGAACAATGACGCTAACCAGAACGCTTTACCACTACGCCACGAGACCTTGCTTCTCTGCACGGGTCCTTTAACTATGACATCAACTCCGCTACTAATACACCATAACAACTCTGTAGTCTCATATGAGTTCAATTACTATGGCACCCTAATGCCTCTTCTTACTCCATGCTTCCTAATGCCATTGCAGTCTGCTTTCGAATTGTATTGAAGTGTGCTGTACACAGGTCGAAACCATGGTGTGGACCTACCGTTCGGTACGGTTCAAATGGGGCTGAGTATGGTTGAAACCACAGCACGGTTCAAACCGTCGTATGGTTGTAACCGCGGCAAGGTTGTAACCGTACCGTGGTTACAACCTTGCCGCGGTTACAACCATACAGTAGTTACAACCTTGCCACGGTTTGAACCGTGCTGTGGTTACAACCTTGCCGCGGTTTCAACCATACGACGGTTTCAACCGTCCTGCGGTTTCAACCGTGGCACGGTTACAACCATGGCACGGTTTGAAACCGTCGTATGGTTGAAACCGCGGCACGGTTACAACCACAGCACGGTTACAACCATGGCACGGTTACAACCATGGCACGGTTACAACATCTGAGCATGCGACATCATTAAGACACCGACGTCATTTGAGGCACGCCCGGGGTGGCTGTGCCCTGGGCGCGCCTCGGGGCCTGAGCTCGAGTCCGAGTTTCTCGGACTCCGGCGTTCTTTGCGCACGCCCAGCGCCCGGGCCGCTCCCCGCCCCGGTTTTCTCGCGCCTCCGCTACGCCTGCGCGCGCGGCGCTCAAGTTCGCGTTCTTCCTCTGTCTCCTCACTTCCCTCGCTCGTTCTCTCTTTCACTCTCTTCGCTCTTCGTTCTTCGCTCTTCGCTCTTCCCTCTTCGCTCTCTCTCTCGCTCTCGTCACCATGCCTGCGATGCACCCCAACCACAGAGAAGTGAGCGTTCATTCTGGTGCAGATCGCGCGTGCTTACCTTTTCCGCAGGTCCTCGAGGATATGATCCACACACGCCACTCCAAGCTGACGCTTGGACGCATCGAGGAGGTGAGCATTCCGTTCATTATCTCTCACGCCGCGCTCACCTTCGCCTTCAGGCTCTGCATTACGGTCTCGGTGCCGAGGTGGTTCGCCGGGACAACACGATCATCGTTCGATTCCGCGCGGGTAGGTGCCGTGTGCTCGCCGCGAACGACAACGTCGAATCTTTTCATGCGGTATGTCGTTCCGTTTCGCATTCGGTCTCGCGCGCACGGCTGACACGGCTTCATAGCCTCACGACGGCAGAGGGAACGTTAGTGCCCACCACTCTCACCTGTAAGTACATCGCCACCCTGCGCGCGCGACCGATGACGAGACACTTTACAGAATCGGGCGTTGGATAGTGAAAAGCTTCAATTTCGAAGCCAAGCGTTTCAAGCACTGGGAGTGGGACCTGATGTGCCGTCGTCAGTGGCAGGCGCCCGCTTGAAGGCCGAGTAGCCCGTAACGTACCGTACCGTAGCTTAACTCTTCGTAATGCTTTGAATCACACGTCCATCTTTTTTGCCTTGAAAGTCTGTAGTATTAGTTCATGTTCGGTCATGTACAGTACTTGGATGTCACCCATCAAATATATTTCGTCTCCCCAGCCATGTCCGTTCACACTGTCATGGCAGTGAGCCCCGAAGGCGCTTTCTCGCCCCCGCACGCGTCTCCAAGAGGCGCCGTGGTCAGCGATAACAATATAAGAATCAGTGCTCCTCTAAATGGTGTAATAGCGGGGCAAGAGGGAAGGCGCCGCGCGACTTGAATGGTGAATGCAGCGCATGTCCAGCGCACTTGCACTCATGATCGCAGATATCTCTCATCGCGTTGTACCGGCGTGAAGAAACCTTCCTCGTCCGGACCGGCGTTGGACGTGCGCAAGAATGCGGTCACCGTAATATCATAGCGACCCAGGGTCTGTTGCCCACAGACGCCCGCAGAGCCGCGTCCGACTTTCTCGGACAGCCCGCCGGCCCGTCTGCTCCCGCTCGTTCTCGTCCTTCGCGTCTACCGTCTCGTCTCGCTCTCGCTCTCTCGCTCTCTTACTCTCTCGCTCTCGCTCTCTCGCTCTCGCTCTCTCGCTCTCGCTCTCTCGCTCTCACTCTCTCGCTCTCTTACTCTCGCTCTCTTACTCTCGCTCTCGCTCTCTCGCTCTCGCTCTCTTCCGCTCTCTCCCTCTCTCCCTCTCTCCCTCTCTCCCTCTCTCCCTCTCTCGTTGTCGCCCACCCTCCCGCTCTTTCGCACTTCGCACATTTCCCTCGTCATTCAGCCTGACAATGAACAAGAATAACGCGCACGTACGCACCTTGTCAGCAACATCTTCATTCTGCTAATGATGAGTAGATCTTCAACGTGATCTACGGCGTCGTCGAGCCGGAAGATATCAAGTTCAAGGACTTCGAGAAGGCGATGAACAGCCTGGGCGCGCGCAAGAGCACCGGCGGAGGCTCTGTTCGATCATTTACGGCAGCCTGTTGGAAAGGCACCGTGCACGTACACCAGGTCAGTCTCACTATTTCGCGTGCTGTCCCTCGTCGCCGACCAAAATGCCAGCCACACCCGTATGACCACTACACGAAGAAGAACGCCAGGAGGCTCAAGGTGAGCGAAGGCTGTCTGCGACGCATAGACTCGATGCTCACCTTGTCCAGGTTCAGTTGGAGTCCAGTGGATTGACCCACCGGGTCATTCGCCGTGAGGCCCGCAAGGCCGGCATCTTCATCCCGAAGCTGCCGTCCCAGTAGAGTAGTTTCCTAGTCTCAGTTTGCTTCGTTTAAACCTCGCCGGGTTCGATAATCTCGGATTGCCGAAGTGCGGGCGCGGGCGCGGGCGGACCGGCCTGGCGACTGAGCGTTATGTGCCGTCGTCAGCGGCAGGCGCCCGCGTGAACGCCGAGTAGCCCGTACACGACCTTTGTTCGTAATGCTTTGTATGACACGTCCGTTGTGTTTGCCTTGAACATTTCTAGTATCAGTTGAAGTCTCGTACTTGAATGTCACACCCATGAAATATATTTCTCCCCAGCCCCGTCCGTTCCCGCTGTCACAGTGACGCGGCCCTCCCGCGTGTCGGTCGCGGGCAGGAGGAGGTGTTATGGGGGCCAGTGCGGGTGGCAGGCCGCCGCCGCCCCGGCCGGGTGAGCGCGCAGAGCACGTTGATCGGAGCGCGCTCGCAGGTGCCTCTAGGGCTCTCATCGTGTCGTACTGACGGGGGCTAACTTAGGTGCCCGTAGAGCCGCGTCCTATGACCACGTGTATTGCTTCATTCTCGTGTGATGGAGCGGGACCCCGAGGCCGGGAACGCAGATACTCAACAGGCCAGAAGATTTCACGGCAACCCAATATCCTCGACCCAGGGCAGGGGACGTCGCGAAGATGCATGACGTATGCCGCATACCGGGCGGGTGGGGCAGAGGTGAGGGCGGCAGTGGGGTCGCAATCGTACAGCAGACGTGCGAAAAAAGGGGATATACGAGTACTGCATCCTCAGTCCCACCTCTCCCAGGGATACACTGGTCCCGCCAACCTCTCCAAAAAGTTACTCGACGAAGGCCACGGAACACCCCGCTCTGACCCTGGCATCCTTCCGCCGACACGTCCCCGATCTGAGTGCGGAGCGGGGTGGCCGTCTTCGAGCTCGTCCGCCCGCTGAGACAGATTGTCCGCAATGAGCATCAGAGAGGACACGAGGTCCAAGTTTCGCTCTTGAAGGCGGGCGGAGCGAGCTTCGGCGATGTTTTGAAGATCTTCCACGCGTCGTTCCAGAGCCTCCACGACCTTCACCAGAGCGGCGTTGGTGGCGAGGACCCTCCCCAGAATAGTACGGCATTCCTCCATCATGAAGGAATGCTGCTCCACGGATGAAACGGGCGCGCCTTGATTTTGCTATGGGCTAGATGTCAGTTGGATGGGGTTATATACTGGCCGGACACTCACGGGGGCATATTCCCCGGTCAACTGCGGCGGAGTAATTGTGCCGACCGTGGGGTAGAAAACGTCGCCTTCCTGGCGAGGGTATGGAGGGTCTTGCCACCCAAAGGCGGCGTTGAGCGAGGGGGCGCACTCGTGGGACATGGGGACTTGTGGGCGAAAGGGAAGAGGAAGAACTAGAGGGGACGTTCAACCAGACCTGTAGCCTGTAGGTCTCCAGCGTCGAAGGGCAGGGTGATGGTAGTCTGGACTCCGAATCAGACTCCAGAATCAGAAATGGCGCTCTGCCGCCCAATGGGCGCCCGGCGCCGCAGTCCCTGCTTTGGCGACGCTCTCGCACGATCGTCGGTATCAAAGAGATGCCCCGCTGGCACGTTCCCGCCGGCGTGGGATGTGGTGGACAACCGATGGGGACTCTGCCGCTGGAACCTTTCACGTCGGGAAGCACGAAGTAGGGAGGGGAGGCATGTGGTACGTTCTCCAGATTGACATACTTCATGACTTCTGGAAGTCGTTCTCCGCCCGCCGGCAAAGGTGGTACCTTGCGAGTGTATTCTCGTCAAACCTTGCTCGTTTCAAACGACCATCTCTCACGACCACAGAGTTGGACACAAGGTATAAGCCGTTCGTCTGATGGTTCCAGACGTACTCAGTCGATCGTTTCAACAGGATACCTATCTGAAGCTAGCACTTCACTGTCCGAACCCTGACAGTATTCTTTCAGGACGTTTTCCGCGATCCACGACTCACAGATTCAAGGTTATTGATGAGGGAACAAGTTTTACCCCCAACTGTTGCTTCGTCATGGGGCCTTCGCCGTCTTCAAAGGCGATGCATACTAGGTTCGTTCGCCAACAGTTCTATCCATTTTTCACGCGAACCCTGATTGCCTCAGCACTCATGTCCTATGCTTTGTTATCACTCTGTCTGTTTTCTCCCGCGTTCAAGACTATCCGGTGCGTACTAAATCTTCTCTTCAAATCTCCTTCTGTCAGTCGTCATTGTTGTGGGCCGGGGGCACCTCGCATTCTCTACGTGGGCGGAGGCCGGAGACTGCGCGCGACAGGCCGGGAGCGTCGGTGTGCTCACGCGGCTTGGATGCCCACCGCTACTTAGTCCCCCGTATTGCGGCTTCGTTCGGACGAGTATGATTTACTCTGCTTGCGAGGCGGGGATGTCATGGGAGTTTCCATGGTCTGCACTCGCAAAAGCCCGTGACCAGAGAAGGGAATGCGACCCCAACGCACACTCTGACTCGGAGGAAACGCCGAGGGTCCTCCGGACGGGCTGGGAAACCGTAGACGGTATTGGGACGACCCTGCGAAGCGGCGAGTTTTTTAGTCCCCGGGGCGTCAGATGGGCGGCCTCGGAGACCGCCCGCTCTTCCCTCCTCCTCCCTCCGCAGCTGCCGGGCCGTAGGGCGGGGCAGCTCCGGCCTCGGGGGACGAGGGCACACCATCCCCATCATCGCCCATCACCCCTTCTGCAAGGGCAGCGCGGCTTGTCCGGCCAGAACCGAACGAGTCCCATCTCGCATCGCGCCTTCTCCTAGGGCACTGCTGCTGGAAGGTGCGGTGTAAGAGAGCCCGGGGGATAGGTCGTGGAGTCTCGCTCTCTGGGGGACCTCATGGTGGGTCTGCCCGATTGCAGACAATAAAGCAGACGCCTATGGGTACGCCTCCCTCGCGTTCTGACTGCAAGCTCTATCTCTCTCTAGCCACCTGTTCTTGGGGATTGATGTATACTTTGAAGGTCATGCACTTCTTCTGAAAGTGCGCATAGCATCATCTGCAACCTGTACGACACTTCGCGAGACGTAACGGCCAGGTCATCCCGTGTGCGTGCTCGCCACCCATGATTCTCGTCGAGTGGCTGAGCATCTAACAATCGCGGCTCAATCTAGTTAATGGCCGGTCGTAATTCTCGGATGCTTCGGGGACCGTGACGAGCTCACGGATAAGCCTGATATCGGTGGTCCACGAGGTCAGCGTTCCTCCCTGCCAATCTTCCGTCTTTCCGTCATGAATCTTGTTTCTTTAGAACTCGTGGCCGGCCGTAGCGTCTCCGGAGCGAAGCCACTGCGGTCACGCACCAGCCGGTCATAGCTTCGCCCTCGTTTCGGGGGCAAATTCATGGGCGCCGCGGAGTGCATCGCCGGTTGGCGTCGAGCCGCGCGGGATTCCCACCGTGCGTCTATGCTTGACGCTAGATCGCAAAAGGGGAAGGCCTCCCGCCCCTGCTTCTCATCATCAAGAGATCCACACAGGTGATTGTTGGAACACTGGTCGACTGGAGGTATATAACCGCTTGTGCACTCCGAGCTGGTCAGGCTTCCCCTCCGTCGCCTTCTCGTCCGCTCCCGCGCCCCACCTCCATTCGCAATCTGACGCCCCTCGAGTCACTATGTCTTCCCCTCTGGACCGTCCCACTCTCCCCAGCATCCGCGAAATGCTCCCAGGTACGTCCCAACATCCCCACTCTGCTGCCCCTGGTGTTCTCAACAGGCGATTCTCCAAACCAGACCACCAATTTGAGCTTGCGAGGCAGGGCTCGTCGGACATTCTGCCGGGCGGCCCCGCGTGTCAAGTCCCGCCTCAATTGAGGGTGCGTGCCATACTCTGAGGCAGACCGACGGCGCCCACTAACCCGTTTCGTGCAGGTTCCGCCCGCCTCAAGCCGCCGCGGCACTCAGCACTCACGCTCCATTTCTTCACCACAAGCAGCCCACCCCCACCCCCCTCCCCCCTTGACAGCCACACGCTCGCTCGGGCCGCAGTACCGCGCGCACCCCGCAGGTTTGAGCGAGGCCCCTCGCGGGAGTACCTCGATGTCCCAGTCGCCGCGTCAAGAGTCTTCCTCTCTCGTCGCCGGCGATGTCTTTCAACCTCACTTCCGCGACATCGCCTCACACCCATTCCCGTACGACTCCGCCGGCACCCGCGGGACCCCGTCGCAGCGCGCACTCCGCGGCTACTCATTCTACATCGTTCCCGCAGACGAATGCCCCCCCGGCGACGACCGCAGGCACGGATGCGGTATCTGCCACCGCCGCTTCAACCGACCCAGCAGCCTGTTGATCCACATGAACTCCCACACGGGTGCGCAGCGTGAGTGGCAATATACGCCTTATTTTTGATGGCAGCCCCGAGGTCTGACGTACGCCGCCCGCCAGCGTTCGAATGCCTGTTCCCGGGCTGCACCCGCCGCTTCAGCGTGAACTCGAACATGCGCCGGCACTACCGCAACCATCGCGAAGGCGCGCTCGCCGGCTCCGCCGCCCAGCCCAACATATCCCCTCGCATGCAGTACCGTAACCCGTACCCACCCCTGCCGTACCACGCGCCGAGCGTGTCGCCCTCTGCCTCCTCCGCCTACTCGTCCTTCACCGAGGGCAGCGATGACCATTCCGACACTGCCATGGCGCACCTCGACGTCCCGCGGAGCCCAACGCTGTCCTGCTCGTCGCCCCCCAGCCGCGCGCGCTCGCACTCAGAAACGCGCTCCGCGCCGAGCGTCGCGCCGGTCGTCATGCCGCGCCGGCGCTCGTGCACGGTGCCCAGGTGCGACTGCGATGAGACCCCGGGCACGTTGCGCCCAGCAGCGTTCCATGAGCGTTCGGCATCGATTACTGGGTACGCGCGGCGGCGTTGAGTGCGCGCGCGACGCAGAAGCTCCGCCGCCGAACGGACTTGAGCTCTCTACGCTCGCCTAGCGATGCGCACGCGGAACGAAGAAGAGAAGAAGCCCCTCCTTGCTACGTCGTGTCTTGATAGACGTTCCCTTTCCCTTCGCGACTTTCCCCCTCTTTCCCGCTG